CCCCTGCCCCTCACCCCCCCTCATAGCCCCCTGGGTTAGAACCCGCCTTATACATCTACTCACGATTATCATTTGTGGTTCGGCGATTGAGTCAAAGATCCGAGAGGGCGTATTTCATTATACTATTCGTTTATTTGTGGTCAATACATTATGATATGCGAGTTAATTTAAGTGTATTGCGTTTGGTTGATAGATCAATCACTTATATTGTAATCATTGATTTGCGTTAGTATTAACCACATTTTATATGAGATTTATCACGTTTTATATGTGATGTACCACTTTTTCTTTTATATTTTCATATACAGGCTCAAGAGACTTGCCATTGTAACAATTAGTTGATAAAATAATTTTATACTTTGTACGCGCATTAGAATGCGTGTGAGTGTGGACGAATGATTAATAAAACATATTTATACTTACCGAATTGCGACCGAGAGTCCAGAGTTGTTTCCTGAAAATAAAAGGTGGATAGAGATTAGTAAATGAGTCAGAAGATTTAGTTTTGTCGAATACTTTCCTTAGTTTCGTTCAAGAGCGGCATCAGCCTGAGGGTGGAACCGGAAGCTCCGTTGGAACCGGCTCCATCGGTCGCTACGGAGGTCGAGATTGTGGCCGAACCCACAAGGGAAGAGCAAACACCGGAGAGAAGCACTGAGGAGGAGATCTTCGGAAAAGCGCAGTGCGCTGTGGATATGCTCAGCGCATTTATCTCGGAGGAGGCCCGGCAGGCGGAAGAAAACACCGGTATGCAAGAAGGCCAGCAACCGAGTGATCGGGCTAGTCCAATTGTGGACAAAGAATAACGAGATTATCGTAACATTTAATTTTAAGATTTTATTTTTAATATATTGGGATACTAGTCGGGTCGCTAGTCGTTGATTATGTTATTTTATTTTATGCGTTAATTGCGAAAACCAGAAATATGTCATTTATTTTAATACACGATGGTAAAGTCTAGCGTAACTTGTAACCGGACTTGAATCGACGTAAACTATGTACGATCTATATGAGCCCCTATGACTCTACGTCTTCCGTAAACACCACCTTTTCTACCGTATCCCGTGCTATTATCACCGTGCTTCTTCCCCGAAGCACCTCACCTATGTGCAGGCCCGTTGAAAGCCAGCCTACTTTGAGAGTGCTACTACAATTACAATTGACCAATGACAATCGCGCTTACCATGAATCGCTGTTACCTCTTCCCA